CTCGCGTCGAGTGTGGCACGCGCTCACTTTCCCCACAGATGGGGCTCCCCTCGCGTCGAGTGTGGCACGCGCTCACTTTCCCCACAGATGGGGCTTAATTAGGGAAGTACAGGTTCCAGTGCAGGTTCAGGAAGGCGCTCAGGGTGGCTCTTCCATCAGGACAGTCTGCCCCCTGCCGGGCCCTCAGGCGTGGCTCTGTGGCCCTTGGCCTCTTGGCCTGGCCCCTGCCCTGCTTGAGCAAGGGTTACAAAGCTCTTAGCTCTGCCGGTAGGTACACCTAGGTGCACCCCACTCCACCAGCAAGACTCCTACCCAGAGGCACTCAGCTTTCTTGCTCTGTGGGCACACAGGGTGTGACTGCAGGCAAGCCCACGTCCCTGTCTCGTGTCTCTTGGTTGCACTGCTGGGCGTCTCTGCCAGGGAGGTCCAGGGCCGGGATCTCGGGTCCAAGGACGCGCTCCACGTCACCTACAGCTCTTCCCTCTTGATGGCAGCAAGATCCCCTCTCTGCCTCTAGGAGGGCTTGTCGCAAGCCTGGCAGGGTGACCAAAGTAACCAGTCCCAACATCAGAGTTCTACACGCCTTTTTTCCATGGTCCCCTCCCTGCCACCCGTAATCTGGTGGGAGTTACAAAGACCGTGGCTACAGAAGCCACACCCGGTCATCCATTGCCCCACAGTGAGTTAGCCTTTTCTAGATGGTTCATTTAAGTGGGATCATAGAAGGATTTCTGTGGCTTTGCCGTCTTACACTCTCCATACTAGTTTCAGGCTTCATCCACGTGGTAGCATGACCGGACATTGGTTTTTCCTTAAGGCTGACTAGTAGGCCACTGTACAGGTGGACTGCGTTGTGTGACTCATCTCTTGGTGACACTTGGTTGTTCGCACCTCGTAGCTGTTGGGGATTGTGCTGCGTAGAACGTTGGTGTGCAGTCTCTGTGGGCCCATAGCAGGTTCCCTCAGTGGTGCGCCCCAGCCAACCTTCTGACCTTCCGTTTCTCTCGTCCTAGCCAGCTGGGGACGGGGGTGGGATCACACGGTGCTTTAGAGTTCCGGTCCTCTGATGACAACAGGTTTTTTAGGGATTTTGCTTTCTGTTGCTGAGTGTGGCTGTCCTGGCTCCGAGTCTCGGTTTAAATCGTGTTTACAAAGCTTACCAAAACAAAAAACCCAACCCACTGCCATCAGACCCAACTCATAGCCACCCCTCTGTGGGTTTCTGAGGCGATATCTCTGTGGAAGTAGATTGCCCAGCCTTCCTTCTGAGGAGTGGCTGGTGGGCTTGCACCACTGCCTCCTGGTGCCTTACGCACTGCGCCCCCAGAGCTCCTACAAACTTAGCTGTGCGTTTACTTGTGCTTTGTCCTGTTTTCTGATTTATTAGTTCTTAGTGATCTATTTTGATTTTCCTTTATTTTTTTCATAGTTTTAAAAATCATTTTCTGCCTTGGTGCAAATGGTTTACACTTGAGTGCTAAGCTAAAGGTTGGCAGTTTGAACCCAGCCAATGAGTGGCAAAACAGAAAAGGTGACCGGCTTGCATAAAGGTTCAGCCATGGACTCTGCTGGGCGCAGCTGGCCCTGACGGCATGGACACCTCCTCCACTCTCCATCTTGTTCTTGTGTGGGGGTCACCTTCTGTCTTTGATTTGCTGGATAACTTCTCCTTACTGTTTAAGGACAGACGCTCACAGCCCATGCCGTTCCCTCCGAGGCAGCTTTGGCCACGTCCCTCACGCGTTGGTGGTGTTTTCTCCGTGCTGTAGGTGTGGGATCGCCACTTCAGTCTTCCCTGTGACTTCGTGCTCACAGCGGAGACCTCTTGACGTCTGAGGAGTGTTCATTATAAGGCGCGTGTGTTGAGCCTCAGTGGTTTGCGTTGGGTGTCGTCTCGCGTGGTCGGACCCGGTAGACTTGGCTTGTCTGAAGCAGGCCGCCCAGGTTGTCTGCACGTGAGGCCTCGTGAGGTATGGGCGACGTGGACTGTGTGCACAGCAGGGGTGGAGCCACTGGCGGGGAGCATTGACCTTGTGGCCTGAGCTGCACGGCCGGGCCGTCTAGTGGCATGATTGTCCGCTGGTGGTAGCAGCTCCCTGTGCAGTGACGCTGGCTGTCGGCCACCTGAGTCCTGGCATCTGCAGGTGCCTCAGGGCTTTAGTGAGGCAGTGGCTGGAGGGAGTCGAGAGAGCCAGCCAGCGTGTGACAGTTGCCTTTTTAACGTGTTGTTTTTTTTTTCTTTCAGGTAAATCTTAAATTGAGAGAGATAACAGAGAAAGAAATGAAGTTAAAACAGCAGTTACTGGAAAGTCCAGCTCACCAGAAGGTAAAGGATGAACCTGGTTTTTCTGAATGCGTTAAGCTGACGCTGCTCTTGATCTTAAAGAATTCCTTCAGAGCTGCCGCTACCGGCTTAGTCTTCACTTCTGTTCATGGGGCCCAGCCGCTTGGACCCCCCTCCTCCCCTTCCACCACCGGCTGGTTGTGTGAATCGCTAGTGAGGGACAGATGCAGGTGGTCTCCAGGCACTAGCCTGGCCCCTTTTCTGCTGGGAGCGTGGAGAGTGTGAGGGAGGGATCGAGGAGCCAGCCAGCCAGCTTGGAGAAGTGCCTGTCACTAGAAGCACCTGGGAGGCCCACAGGTGCTCTTGAGGCCAGCACACACCTGGTGCCCACCGGTAAAGCTGTCAGTGTGGTCTTGACAGGGACCCTGTGGTCCAGAGACTGATGTAGGCAAAAGGTGTGCCGGGGACCCTGCGGCCCCAGGGACCGATGCAGGTGGAAGGTGTGACGGGGACCCTGTGGCCCCGGGGACCGATGTAGGCAGAAGGTGTTACGTGGACCCTGTGGTCCCGGGGACCGATGTAGGCGGAAGGTGTTACGTGGACCCTGTGGTCCCAGGGACCAATGCAGGCGGAAGGTGTGACGGGGACCCTGTGGTCCCGGGGACCGATGTAGACGGAAGGTGTGATGGGGACCGATGCAGGCAAAAGTTGTGATGGGGAACCTGCGGTCTCGGGGACTGATGCAGGCAGAAGGTGTGACGTGGACCCTGTGGTCCCCAGGGACTAAAGTAGGCGGAAGGTGTGACGGGGACCCTGCGGCCCCGGGGACCAATGCAGGCAGAAGGTGTGACGGGGACTGATGTAGGCAAAAGTTGTGATGGGGACCCTGCGGCACCGGGAACCAATGCAGGCGGAAGGTGTGATGGGGACCGATGCAGGCGGAAAGTGTGACGTGGACCCTGTGGCCCCAGGGACCGATGCAGGCAGAAGGTGTGATGGGGACCCTGTGGTCCCAAGGACTGATGCAGGCAGAAGGTGTTACATGGACCCTGTGGCCCCAGGGACCGATGCAGGCGGAAGGTGTGACAGGGACCCTGTGGTCCAGAGACTGATGCAGGCAGAAGGTGTTACATGGACCCTGCGGCCCCGGGGACCAATGCAGGTGGAAGGTGTGACGGGGACTGATGTAGGCAAAAGTTGTGATGGGGACCCTGCGGCACCGGGAACCGATGCAGGTGGAAGGTGTGATGGGGACTGATGCAGGCGGAAAGTGTGACGTGGACCCTGTGGCCCCGGGGACCGATGCAGGTGGAAGGTGTGACGGGGACCGATGCAGGCAAAAGTTGTGATGGGGAACCTGTGGTCCTGGGCACCAATGCAGGCAGAAGGTGTGACATGGACCCTGCGGCCCCGGGGACCGATGCACGCAGAAGGTGTGACAGGGACTGATGCAGGCAAAAGTTGTGATGGGGAACCTGTGGTCCTGGGCACCGATGCAGGCAGAAGGTGTGACATGGACCCTGCGGCCCCGGGGACCGATGCAGGTGGAAGGTGTGACGGGGGGACCCTGTGGTCCAGAGACTGATGCAGGCGGAAGGTATGACGGGGACCAATGTAGGTGGAAGGT